CTACAGTATGGGACAATATATTCATAAATGACATATCTGATAAGGGGCTGACATCCAAAATATTCAAAGAGCTCATGTACCTCAACAAACAAAAAGCAAATAAGCTAACTAAAAAATCGGCAGAGGATCTGAACAGACACTTCTCCAAACAAGAAATTCAGATGGCCAACAAGCACATGAAAAGATGCTCCACATCGCTAATCATAAGAGAAATGCAAATTAAAACCACAATGAGATATCACCTCACATCAGTTAGGATGGCCACCATCTAAAAGACAAACAACAACAAATGTTGGTGAAGATGTAGAGAAAAGGGAACCGTCCTACACTGCTGGGTGGGAATGTTAATTAGTTCAACCATTGTGGAAAGCAGTATGGAGGTTCCTCAGAAAACTAAAAATAGAGATACCATTTGACCCAGGAATTCCACTCCTAGGAATTTACCCTAAGAATGTAGGAGTCCAGTTTCAACAAGACATATGCAGCCCTATGTTTATCACAGCAGTACTTACAATAGCCAAGAAATCGAAGCAACCTAAGTTCCATCAGCAGATGAATGGATAAAGAAGGCGTGGTACATATACACAATGGAATATTATTCAGCCATAAGAAGAAAACAAATCCTACCATTTGCAACAACATGGATGGAGCTAGTGGGTATTATGCTCAGTGAAATAATCTAGGCAGAGAAAGACAAGTATCACATGATTTCACTCATCTGTGGAGTATAAGAACAAAGAAAAAACTGAAGGAACAAAACAGCACAGACTCACAGAACCCAAGAATGGAGTAACAGTTACCAAAGGGAAAGGGACTGGGGAGGATGGAGGAGAAGGGAGAGATAATTGGAATAAGGGACATTACGATTAGCACACATAACATAGAGGGGGGCACAGGGAAGGCAGTATAGCACAGAGAAGACAAGTAGTGACTATCGCATCTTACTACGCTGATGGGCAGTGACTGTAATGGGGTATGTGGTAGGGACTTGATAATGGGGGGAATCTAGTAACCACAATGTTGCTCATGTAATTGTATATTAATGATAACAAAATAAAAAAAATTTTTAAATAAGGAAAAATATTACAGACTTATGTCAGACAGTAAATAATAAAAGTAATCTTTAATTCTGGGGGATTTTATAATGTTTGTGGAGTTTGTCAGCTTTTTACAATTTGTAATTTGTTAGGATTCCTTTTCTCATACTGAATAAACATTCACTTCTGTACCTTAAAAAAATATATATTAGTAAACCAAGTTCAACAGCATTTTAAAAGGATCAAACAGCAGGATTTATCTCTGGCAGGCAAGGATAGTTCAACATATGCAGATCAATCAATGTGATACGCCACTTTAATAGAATGAAAGATAAAAATCACATGATCATCTCCAAAGATATAGAAAAAGTATTTAACAAAATTCAACTTCCTTTCATGATAAAAACTCTCAACAAATTTGATATAGAGGGAACACACTTCAACATAAAGGCTATTATGACAAACCTACAGGTAATATCATACTCAAAGATTGACAGTTTTTCCTGTAAGTTTAGGACCAATACAGGGTGCACATTCTTACAACTTTCATTTAAAATAATACTAGAAGACCTATCCAGGGCAATCAGGCAAGAAAAAGAAATAAAAGGCACTCAAATCACAAAGGAAGAAGTAAAATTGCCTTTCTTTGCAGATGATATAATCTTACAGAGAATATTCTAAAGACTCCACTAAAAAATTGTTAGAACTAATCAATGAATTCAGTAAAGTTGCATGATACAAATTCAATATACAGAAATCAGTTGCATTTCTATATACTAACAATGAAATAACTGAAAAAGAAATAAATCAGTCCCATTTACAATAGCATCAAAAACTAATTTACTAGGAATAAATTTAACCAAGGAGGTAAAAGATCTGTATGTTGAAACATATAAAAATATTCTGATGAAAGAAAGTGAAGAAGACACAAATAAATGGAAAGATACTGCATGTTCATGGACTCAAAGAACTAATATTGTTAAAATCCCTACTACTCAAAGCCATCCATGGGATTCAATGCAATCCCTATCAAACTTCCATTGTGATTTTCCACAGAAATAGAGAAATAATCCCAAAATTTGTGTGGAATCACAAAAGACCCCAAATATTAAAGCAATCCTGAGAAAGAAGAACAAAGCTGGAGGCATCACATGCCTTTATTTCTGCTATATTGCTGGTGATCTAATGCACAGCATTGTGATTACAGTTAATAATAATGTATTACACACTTGAAACTTCTTAAGAAAGTAACTCTTAAATGTTCTCACCACAAAAAAGTAATGGTAATTATGTGATGTCATGGAGTAATACGCTAATGTTATGGTGGTAATCATTTCAAAATACATAAGTGTATCAAATGAACACATTGTACATCTTAAATTCATACAATGTTATATGCCAGCTCAATAGAACTTGAAAAAAATACTTGTAGTATACATACAAGACCTGCTTAAGGTATTTCAAATAGATCCCAAAATAGGAATTATACACAGAAAACTTCCAAATTGGCATTATGTAGTCTTCAAATAAGAAGAGTGTGGGATAGTTTAGAGAAAAGTAAAACAAATACTCCAATAGAGTTAGCACGCAGAAGATTCAGAGTCCTGTTTTTAAAGCAATGAGCTATTCCCATCCTGATTTTTAGGCAGTAGAGCATAGTCATAGAATAAGAGCCCTACAGTCAGCCAGACCTGAGTTTAAATCCTAGTTTCATTCTGTAAACATGACTAAATAATTTAATATCTCTATGCTTTAGTTTCCTCACTATATAACAGAGATAATAAATAGAGGTATCTCCCTTGTTGGGTAGTTAGGATTAAATGAGATAATGCACATCAATGTCTGATACTATAATGTTAGCTATTGTTACTTAAGGAATGTCTTTTACCGTCTCAGGCAAAATATCAAAGCCATGGAAAGCAGAAAGATATAAACATAAAGATAATATTATATAGAATCCATTTAAGCCAATCTACATCTCATTCAAATAAAACTATAAGTTACAATTTTATTAATATTTATGATTATTATTATTTTGCTTATCTCAAACTGTATTTCCTTTATAAATAAAATATAGCCATTGTGTCAAATATGCATGGAAAATATGACTGATGCATTGAGAGTCAGTTTAGCAGTTTTCAACAGCTTTGGCAGCATTTACTCGTGTATTTTCTTCTTTTTACTGTCTAGCTCAGAACCTTAAACATGGCAGCTGCTAAATGCCTTGCCTGTGATAGGATAGGGTAAGTAAAGTTGAACTGAACTGATTTTCAGGCAGCCCATTTGAACAGTACTGTTTATTTATTTTACAAGTGACAAAATATTTAATTCTATACTTTGAGACAAGGTCCAAAAGAATGGTGGTTAAGAACACAGGTCTTGGAGACACACAGGTCTACACATGAATCCTCACTCTGTACAACATGATCCAGGGCAAGTTAACCTTTCAAAGCTTCTTTCTTTGTTTATGAAATTGGGATAGTAAGAAACGGGATATACTTAGCATAGTGCCTGGCATACGGAAAGCATTCAACAAGTCATTTATACTAGAGTTTAGTAAAGGAGCTTGGGAAAGATCAGTGTACCTAGACTTTTGGAAAATGCTTCAAATTTTGGTGTTAAAGCCTACACACACAGTTTTCTCTCACGTATGAGAAAACACCTCAAGATCAGCCCTGAAGACTCCACAGCAACTTACACATATTTTCAACCATATGGATCTTTTTCTTCTGGTATAAACTATATTTAGCACATAAAAACTTTCATACTGAAAACACTTTATAAGCAGGAATTTTTTTAGAGAATATACAAATTTTTAGTGAATACATGCATGAAATTCATTTTAAAGTTATGTAACAATTAAAATGAAAATCTATTTGATTTGAGCAAAATTGCAATGTTCCTAAATTAACTGACTTTGTATTCTGCCATAACCTAAAGTTGGCTGATGGTATCTCTGTGATATAGCTTCCAGAGGAAAATTAATATTTTAAGAGAAAACATTAAATTACTTAAAAATTCACATGTCAGAATAATTTTGCATATTCTGGCATTTTATTAAAAGAGTTAAGTGAAAATAGTCAACTATGGAAATTTTTATGAAATGATCATAAATTCAGGGATAGCAGTTAACCAAATAATTTTCAAATACTTAAAGAATACAGTTTGATAACCTATTTAGAAAAATGTCTTTTAGTTTTACTTAAATCCATAACTATTCATAATTTTCAAAATAATTATAGTTTTTACTTGCATTTTTTCCTCTGGTAAGAAATTAAAATGACAGGAAAAAGTTTATCTTACCACAATAGTTTCTTTCCTTTTCCCTTTATCTTTTTTTTTACATAAAATTAGGAACTTTCAAATCATCTAAGAAATAATATGTTAAAGGAACTTCTAAAATCAGCTATAGTTAAAATGCTATGTCTCTATAACCAATTGCAATATAGACTTTTAAAATCAGTATTTCATAATAGATCTTGATTGGAATTGACTAACTAATGCTACATTTTAAACTTCCAATTTTAGTTCATGCAAATTTTAAGAAACTTTCAATAATTCATTTTACCTTTGGAGGACACAATGGGTTAAATGTTATACTTTCCTGTTTTACATATATGTATGCATGTGTGTATGTACACACATGCATACATATATAGTTTATATACATACACAGTTTTACCCCACAATTTATATAATCAAAAAACAAAACTCTTATTGCCAATTTTTCTACTTATATTTCCAGTATCCTGAACAATTTAAATAACAGGGAAGTACACACTTCTATTACTATACTTATAGGAAAAGGAATGCATAAGAGAAATGTGTACTGCAGAATTTCATGACATTTATTTTCTAATTTTCAAGTTTACAATTAAATTTAACCCAGTTAAAAAGTGTTAGAAAATTAAAGATATCGAAAGGCTTAAGTTAAACCAAACAGAAATTTAAAAAATCACTAACCCAATGCATGCACTGCTCCTCTATGCCTGCTGGAGCTCTTGCTTGTTTTAATCACACGGACAGCACTTTCTCTGAACTGCAGCTCACAAAAATTTTCAAGAAATTTTGCCATTTCTTCTGTAACAGTATCCAGGTAAGTTTCTTTAATGAATTTCACCGTTGAGGATGGAGCTAAAATTTCACGCAGCATATTAAAATCATCTTTTATCATTGAGTATAACTTAAGCATTGTACTTTGGTATCCATGAATCATTATGTCTAAATCTGATTCTCTGCTGTAAGAAGGAAAACAGTTCTGCAGAAGTTTAGCCAACAGTTTATTCTGTATGTTTTGGTATTTGACTATAACTTCTGATTCTGGATAGAGAAACAAGAGTTGTTGTATGCACTGATTTTTCAACAAAATATTTTGCTGTGAATTGCTTATTTCATTAACACTTTGTAATCTGCTCACTAAGAAGCGTCGAAGATGTAATCTTATATCATCCCATATAGACTTTACATTCATAGAAGAATGATCTTCAACAGAATGAAGAGAAGTTCTAGAGAGGAAATGGAATGATGTTCCACTTAGGGTTGATGGGAATGAAACGCTGCTCTTGCAGGAGAGGTCCCAAAGTAAGTCCAATACCATTTCTTCTTGATTTAGCTCATTGTTCAACAAATCTTGCTAATAAAATTAAATGAAAACATTAGAAATGTGATTAACTGTAAGAGTAACAGGAAAAATGATTTCTACAGTCACACACAACTTCATATTAATTCATTTCAACTTAGAATACACTGATGCTTTTTAAGATTTTTCTGCATTTCAAATTTAATCAATTTAGACATTTTAGAATGTTAGCATTATAGTCTGTTAAATTTTGTAAAGCCCAGGTGATGAATTATACTTTTCATTTGGTTTCCAAACATAACATGGTTTTCAGCCCTCAGTGTTAACCCAACACTGATATGATGTGAGATGTATGAAAGCTGAACTTAAAAATTCTAAATAAAGATCTACTGTAAAACATTGATTGAAACATATTCTTAAGACAAAATAAATTGAAGATCATGCCCCTAATTAATTCCTGGTATAAAATTTTCATGTCTTAATGAGTATACTTACTATTATAGAACCCTGAATGAACATACAAAATGAAGACCTTTAAATATAGTATGTGCCTAGGGGTTACTAATGCTGCCATCCTGAGAAATACAATTTAATAGACTTAAAGACTTTAATTTTCACTTAAATTCCTTTTTGAGAGCCATATTAAGAAAGGTTTTACTTTGGAAATTAACCTGAGACTATTCTACTTCTCTCCAAAGAAATAACTAACTCAAAATGGAAAAAAAAATACCCTCAGTATTGTTCCCCACGAGATGGTATGAAATTATTCCTTTATACTTTCCAACAGAAACAATGGTAGGTATAATTACGAATAGTAAAGGAAGAAAAAATTTACTTTCTTTTTGGACTTTGAATTATGCACAAACATTCTCCTTACATGCCGACTTTCTTAATACTGTCTATTTCAGCTAATATTGAAATTCGTTGATATTCTTAAGTAGCAACATGCTGATTATAAGAAAAATGGAAGCAAGGTTCAAGTGGCATAAAATCTGGTTGGCTTTGAAATTTCTTATTGACAAAAAGACCACAAATATTATGTGTGATTCAGAATTATGAACCACTCCTAGACACATTCCAGGAATTTGCTCTCAATCATTCAAAGCATCGTAATGTCTAAATAATGTCCTCTCTGATAAAACCCAGTATCTACATAGTGTTTTATTAAAAGCACTTTTTCATATAGTCTCTGGCATACTCATAATGAAAACTCTTCCATATAGATATTTTAAAACCTTATTTACAAATAAGTACACTAATGTAGAGCACATTTAAGTTACTTTCCAAATGTTACAAAACCAAGCACAAAACCAAGAAGGGACCCTGGCTTTACTCTCCTTGTCCATGTTCTACTACACCCTAGAGAGCCACCAAGTGCATTGACCTTTCTGAAGCTTCTTTATCTCTCTCTCTTCTCCCTCTATTTAGTTCTTTTGATGCTTCTGGAAAAGAAATGTCCTTAAGAGTCCAGAACATCAGCATTATGATAAATTCTATAAAGCAAGCAAGTTATATTAGTGTCCCAACCTTGAATTCCTTTAGTCAATAACTATAAATATTTCATCAAGCAAATATTATTTAGAGAATAAAAGATTACAAGAGGTTTAAAACATGTGTTTAGTATGACTGCTCAAATTTTGAAAATAACTTCAGTATAACTGCCATAATGAGGACCTCTGTTTCTTATTTAAGTAGTTAGGTAATTAATAAACAAAATTTTTTTCTATGGAAAAAACAGATTTATGAAAAAAGCTATAAGACTGACACTTTTAACATACAAAAACTTGATAGACCACAAGGTTGTTTTAATCTGGATCTGTTTTATAATGCGGTTCTTTCCTCAAAATAACATGATCAATTATGTAAAAAAAACCTAGGTCTGGAACAATCCTATCAGTCTAATGAATTTGAGCAAAACTAAAATGGCCTTTGCCCTGCAGTGAATGGAGAAGACTTATGTGTGACAGATTAAAAGATAATTAAAAGCCTTTGTTTTTAATTAAATGAGAAAGCATTATTACATCAATATTAATGAAATTCAATACACACAGCTCTTAATAGAAATAAAAGGAATAACTATATCCATATTTATTCTTCAAGGCTTCACCTTTGCAAGATAATGGGTGAAAGGATTTTCTTAAAAGAATAAAGCTTCAGGGCACATAGTCTTCTTTTCTCTTCCTTCTATTACTTTGTAAACATTAAAGAGACATCTGCAATAATAACAACAGCCAAGAACTATTTTCATCTGATTCTGTCATCCTAAGTCATCTACAACCCCAAGATATTTTCCACATCTGCCTTAGTCAATGTTTGATGTTTAGACAAAAAGAGTGCCTTCCCCCACACCGACCTAAATTAAATTAATACCATAGGTACAGAAATACTGCTTTCTAACAATTGTGCTGCTTCTCTGGGAAGCTGTACTTGCAAGCTAGCTACCCTTGTAGAGAAAGGTGTATTAAAATAACTGTTCTTACATAGAGGGTGGTCAATATCAAAGAATGAGCAATGTAATAATCCTCCATCAATTAAGAGTGGTCTTGTATAAATCACTGCCTTGATTGAAAAGAACTAGGTATGCTTGCAGGTTGGGAATGCAGGGAATGATAGACAAGGCTACTTACTAGATACAATCGATGGTGATCTTACTATACTTAATAGTGAGCACAGAGAAAATGAGTAGTTGTGAAGGGCCACAAAATGTAATTAATAAAGACTTTTCTGGTAGACAATTGTGGTACATATCAATCAATACATTTCGTGGCATCAATATGGTATACATCGCACCACAAATTACCCAGGAATGAATATGTTTAATCACTATGTAAAGTTTCATTTTATTGATAAAAATCATAGTAAAAAATAAAAACAAATAGCTAACTGGATTCCACTGGGAATATAGAAACAAAACAAAACACAAGCCCCAACCACTATATAAGGCAGTCTAACATTGTCACTAAAATAAATATTTACATATAGAAATTGAATGAATTATATTCCATGATCACCCAATGCACTCCAATATATATCAAAGATTCTTTTATTTACCAGTGTTTTGAGGAATTTCATCAAATCTCCATGAGGAATAGAAGTTGACTTGGATGAGTTATAGTTACAGTTATTTAGCCATTCAAAACAGTCAGTTGTTGTTTGCAGCTGCACATCTGGACAATGTTTGTTAACTTGAGACTGTATTTCTTTAATGCAGTGCTCTATACTACAAAAAAAAGAAACAATTATTTTGGTAGGAAGTAGCTAACAGTTGCATCTCCTAATAAACAGGCCCTGGCATGTTTGTTGTGTACAATGTTACAAAATTACAAAATGTATATGTGATATGAAAATAAAAAGATTATATAATTTCATTCATAATTAAAAACTGAAAGTCCAAATTTTCTGGCAGTTTCCTTCCAAATGCAATAAAGGAAATGAGATAGTGAGCTACTCACAGATGAATTAGATATTCTTTTGTGTTAAAACAAAAATCAAGCATAGATGCAATGAAATAATGGTCCCCTTGACAAGCAGTGGATGGAAGGTGGAGAAAATACTACTGATGACTGAAGATCAGAAACATATTATCTACTAATAGGTGAATGACTATATAAATTATGGAAAACCTCAATCAATGGAATATTAAGAAGTCACAAAGCAGTTACAAAGAGCTTGTAATTTTAAAAGCTGTAAAAGATACATGTTGTATATATACTGTTACTACAACCAAGTCCCTTTACTTGCCTTGGAATTCCATTTCAAAAAAAAAAAAACCAGAAAACATACTAGAAATTGCATATCTTAAAAAAAAGACTGGAAGGAAATGAAACAGAAGTTTAATAGCAATTATCTCTCATTGATGAAATTTGATGTTTTTAATTTTACTTTTCTATATTTTCTGAATTTTTACAAATTCTCCATTTATATAATTTAAAAAAAACAATGAAAATGGGCCTAATCGAATTTTACAATAGATGTTTTTAAAATTTCATCCAAAATATCTTTAGCTGTGATACTAAAAAGGTCTACTATGTTGTTTTACTTTTCACATGAAAGTCTGTACATTCATTATTATAAACGTTTGTGAGGTAAACTGGTGACCTTAAGCAGAATGTCATCAGTGGAGCCACAAGGACATGACATATTACTACCACCTGATGGCAGCATACCTAAACTCCAAGAAAGCTTATAAACAGGAAAATTCTTTTGAAGCTGGATCCCCTCACCCAAAATTTACAGCTATGCATTTGTATTTGCCTCTTAACAGTATTAAGACCTGTTACTGAAGAGGTTACTACTGTTTTGAAAATATCAGTGCTATTAACTATAAATTCTGTGTGATAGAATCATGTAGGCTTTGGAAAACAAGCTATGATGATTAAAATTTATGTCATATGAAAGACTCCAAAATTCATCAGGTGTCGGTTCCCAATATTAAACACATAAACTGTACAACTTGCAGGAAGGCTTTTCGGAAGACTTCTGAGCACGAGTGAATTCAAACTGAATTACCTTGAAACAAATACGTTTTGAGAATTAAAGGGGTTTTTCATGAAAACAAAAAACTTAACAAGAAAAACAATACCTCCTTAGGTCACCGGCCACACAATTTCCTGATGGCACAGTCTTATTCAGGAATGCTAGTTCTAAATCAGACATGAGATTGGCATTTATTTTCTTAATTTACATAAGCACTTCTATGGACTGAGAAACACGATGCCCTAAGCTTACACCTTGACTCTAGGGACCCTTATCAAAGGTTTTTATTATAGCATCATCATGTGTCTTATTCAGTGAAACCTAATAGATTGCAGCAATGTGATTAGGAAAAGCTCAGCGGTTAGTCTACCGAAATCTTTTTCTATTAGGACTCAGCTTTTAGGCTAATCTCTAACATCTGAATCTGGGTAGAGTTCAACAACTACAATTTCTAAATAGGGTAAAGACCTAAGAGAGTAAGTGATTTGTCTAAACACTGATAAAGGGATTGAGCAGTTGCATTTCTGAGGACCTTCCTTACTGATACAGTTGAGCTGGCTTTTAAAATCATTTTGTCACAATTTTTAAATGTCAGAAATCATTATTTGCACCTGATTTGATTTTAGTTGACTAAATACCTTGTCATTCTGCCATTCACAAATGTCTAATCATCTTGCTTTAAAAGTGCCAAATGTTTGAAGTCTAGAGATTTAATGCCTGAGTGTTATACAAAAGGAATATTTCCAAAATTTAAGGCAAATGTAAGTTTAGTGTACAATAATCTTAATTGAGGTCAAAATTAAATTTAAAATTAATTTTCAACACCTAAAAATAACATCATTTTCATATGAGTGTATGTAGTAATATTACTGATAGGGATGGGAATCTTGGGTGGGAGGAAGTCTACATATCTTTACATTTAGATGATGCAAGAACTTGGTATAGGTTTTCCTTTTTTTTTTTTTTTTGGTATCATTAGTATACAAATACATGAGCAACATTATGGTTACTAAACTACTCCCATCATCAATTCCCCACCACATACCCCATTACAAACACTGTCTAACAGCATAGTAAGATGCTATAGAATCACTTCTTCTCTTCACTGTGTTACAGTGCCTTCCCCGTGCCCCACCCCCCTACATTATGTGTGCTAATCTGAATGACCCTTTTTCCACTTATACTTCCCTTCCCAATCATCCTCCCCAGTCCCTTTCCCCTTGGTAACTGTTACTCCATTCTTGGGTTCTGTGAGTCTGCTCCTGTTGTGTTCCTTCAGTTTGTTCTTTGTTCTTATACTCCAAAGATGAGTGAAATCATGTGATACCTGTCTTTCTCTGCCTGGCTTATTTCACTGAGCATAATACCCTCTAGCTCCATCCATGTTGTTGCAAATGGTAGGATTGTTTTCTTCTTATGGCTGAATAATACTCCATTGTGTAGATGTACCACACCTTCTTTATCCATTCATCTGCTGATGGAACTTAGGTTGCTTCGATTTCTTGGCTATTGTAAGTACTGCTGTGATAAACATAGGGCTGCATATGTCTTGTTGAAACTGGACTCCTACATTCTTAGGGTAAATTCCTAGGAGTGTAAATCCTGGGTCAAATGGTAAGTCTATTTTTAGTTTTTTGAGGACCCTCCATACTGCTTTCCACAATGGTTGAACTAAGTAACATACCCACCAGCAGTGTAGGAGGGTTCCCTTTTCTCTACATCCTTGCCAACATTGGTGGTTGTTTGTCTTTTGGATGATGACCATCCTAACTGATGTGAGGTGATATCTCATTGTGGTTTTAATTTGCATTTCTCTGATGATTAGTGATGTGGAGCATCTTTTTATGTGCCTGTTGGCCATCTGAATTTCTTCTTTGGAAAAGTGTCTGTTCAGATCATCTGCCGATTTTTTAATTGGCTTATTTGCTTTTTGTTTGTTCAGGCATATGAGCTCTTTGCATATTTTGGATGTCAGCCCCTTATCGGATATGTCATTTATGAATATATTCTCCCATACTGTAGGATACCTTTTTGTTCTATTGATGGTGTCCTTTGCTGTACAGAAGCCTTTTAGTTTGATGTAGTCCCACTTGTTCTTTTGTTTCACTTGCCCATGGAGAATTTGTTTGTGTTTATATTCAAGAGAGTTTTGCCTATGTTTTCTTCTAAGAGTTTTATGGTTTCATGACTTACATTCAAGTCTTTGATCCATTTTGGGTTTACTTTTGTGTATGGAGTTAGATAGTAATCCAGTTTCATTCTCTTACATGTAGTTGTCCAGTTTTGCCAATACCAGCTGTTGAAGAGGCTGACATTTCCCCATTGTATATCCATGGCTCCTTTATAATATACTAATTGAAAATATATGCTTGGGTAAATATCTGAACTCTCTACTATGTTCCACTGGTATATGGGTCTGTTTTTGTGCCAGTACCAAATTGTCTTGATTACTGTAGCTTTGTAGTAGAGCTTGAAGTTGAGAAGTGAGATTCCCCCCTGCTTTATTCTTCCTTCTCAGGATTGCTTTGGCTATTCATGGTTCCATATGAAATTTAGAACTATTTGGTCTTTCATGGTTCCATATGAATTTTAGAACTATTTGTTCCAGTTTGTTGAAGAATGCTGTCAGTATTTTGATAAGAGATTGTACTGAATCTGTAGATTGCTTTAGACAGAATGACCATTCTAAAATATTAGTAATTCCTACAAAAGAGCATGGGATGGACCTAACGGACATCTACAGAACACTCCATCCAAAAGCAACAGGATACACATTCTTCTAAAGTGCACATGGAACATTTTCTGGAATAATACAGTAGTCCTGGAAGGACCCAGAATGAGCTGGAACTGACCAGACTCAGCCTGGCCTTATATTCCAAGGCACAGTTAGAGCTCTTCTTCTCCCTCATAAATTTACATGTGACTTGGGATCACTTTTCATAGACTATAGTGATGGGAGCTAAATGGGAGCTCACATGGCATGCTTGCCACTCCCTGCAGGGCTCCGCGCTGCTCTGATGGACACCCTTCCCACAGCAGCTTAGGGGACTAACCCAGTGGCTGCTCCTGGAGGGTGGGTAACCATCACAGGTAGTGGAGAAGGGCAAGGCATCCAGCAAGCAGAAAAGGACTTTCTTCTCCCAGCTGACACACCCGCAACCTGCCTACAGCCACTACTATCACCATGAAAAGGCAAAAAAATCTGGTCCAGTCCAAGATACTTCAAACAACACCTGAGAAAGGATCTGCAGAGGCAGACATAACCAGTCTCCCTGAAAAAGAATTCAAAATAAAAATCATAAACATGCTGACAGAGCTGCAGAGAAATATGCAAGAGCTAAGGGATGAAGTCTGGAGGGAGACTACAGACATCCGGAGGGAGATTACAGATGTCCAGAGGGAGATTACAGAAGTGAAACAACCTCTGGAAGGATTTATGAGCAGAATGGATAAGATGCAAGAAGCCATTGATGGAATAGAAGTCAGAGAACAGGAACACACAGAAGCTGATGCAGAGAGAGATAAAAGGATCTCCAAGAATGAAATAATATTAAGAGAACTGTGTGACCAATCCAAAAGGAACAATATCCGCATTACAGTGGTACCAAAGGAAGAAGAGAGAGAAAGAGGGATAGAAAGTGTCTTTGAAGAAATAATTGCTGAGAACTTCCCCAAACTGGGGGAGGAAATAGTTGCTCACACTATGGAGGCACACAGAACTCCCGAGAGACAGGATCCAAAGAG